CGTATGGTCCCCAAGTAAAAGAATTTGTTTGCCCATAACGAGAAAACAATGGGCGGAACTCAATAATATGGAATTTTGAAAGGGGATCTGAGGTTATGAAGCCTGCATATCACAGATTAGACGTCAAAAGACAAATTTAAAAAGCAGGCAACATATCCTAAGGGTGATTATACAGTATTCATGTTGGAATACTGGAACCACCCAAGTAGAAAATGACCAAATAGAAGAAACTTAAAGTACCACATATCATGCATACACAACAATAATGTCGTGCCGAACGATCTTCAAGGATCGAAAATATAACATCATTGATTAAATGTACGGGGAGACTTTTTACAGCCGCCACACAGCACCAATAACACGGATGTGACAATAAAATAGAGAAAAACAGAATCCCTAAAGTAAGTCCAACACAACAAATTTGAAAATGTTGCAGGCTCGGTTTGATTGAGCCTGTTCATGGACGGTACTGGAAAGTGCAAGTTACCGTCCACGCCCCCTAGCACCGGCTTAAGCAGAATTCAACATTTAACACGAAAATGGTGAAATTTTGAATTTAGAAACATCCGCAGATATGTTCATACGGCGGTTATCATGGAACATCCAATGTGACACAGATAATAAAACGTCAAAAGACAAATTTAAAAAGCAGGCTACATATCCTAAGGATGATTATACAGTATTCAAGTAGGAATACTGGAACCACCCAAGTAGAAAATGGCCAAATAGATGAAACTTGAAGTACCACATATCATCCTAATCCGAAATTTAACAGTCGATGACCATTCGTGTTTTCATTAAGAATTTTTCTTGGGAAAATTTCAACTAACTTTAAGATGATGATTTCGACATTCTGCCAATGTTTAAGATTGATATAAAAAGAAGAAATAACTTATTGAAACTCATAAATGCCCAACTCACCAAAACGTTGGCATAAATTATTCCGACGGTTTTGGGGTTTTCTGTACTGCTTTTTCTTCGCATAATAAATCATTTTCGTAAAAGACAACTAATAAAAACGCACTTGTTTTGAAAAAGACAACAACGAAAGCAAAATGATTAGTTTCGCAAGTTCCGTCCGCATGGATAATTTTATATACGAATTCGTGTTTTCTTTCTGTAGGCTAAAATGTTAAACTCTTAAAATAGCCAATTTAATATTTAGATATATCTATCGCATAATATCAATTTTGAATTGAATAATTTTTTAAGTAAATGTAGTCAATTTACAATTCATTTATAAATCAATAAACAAAAGACATAATATGGACAAGTTTTAGATTACAGATTTTACCCGAAATGCATCCATTTTGATGTTATATTTTTGCGAAATACTTATATTCCAAATCGAAATATATTGATTTATTTCACACCTAAAAATATTACAAATGCACTTTTATTGTTTGCATTACTTGATGTCCCATGACCTACAAAACAGAATACACAGCTGCAAAATCTCTATCAGACTCGGTTATCCCTCGTCCAATATATTTATTACAGCTGTGTACTCATTCAATAGAAATTATTTATGTACTCAACAATGTATAATAACTCATAATATTGCACGACTATAAAATGATTGCAGATGAAAGGAATTGAAACATTACATCTATATGATAAATATTTTACGGTTTCTGAGAAAACGAAGAACAAAAGCAACAATCCCTTAAATGTTTTGTTCTTTGTAAAACGAAATTTGTTCAGGATAATCTGTGATATAGAAGGTAAATTTCATATGAAAATTTTCAAAGCATGTTTTTAATAACCCTTTTGGCTTGATATTAATATATATATCAATATTTATTTAAAATACTTGCTTAACATAGAAGAACATCAATATGTGCTTACCCTTCTTGTTTCGTATAGAACTGCAACAATACTTACTCACCCTTCTTGCTTGATATAGAAGTTAATCAATAATTTTGCTCATTCTTCTTGCTTGATAAAACCCATAAATAGTTACTGAAAATTATTGCTTGATAAAGAGGTGCATTAATATTTACTTACACTTATTGTTTGATAAAGAAGTGTAGCAATATTTTCATACCGTTCTTGTTTTTTTTTGAAATGCAGCAAAATTTACTTACCTTATTTGCAGACATCATTTTTACTTACACTTCCTTGATAAAGAAATTTGTCAATATTTACAAAACATTCTTGCTAAAGAAATGCAACAATATTTACTTACCTTTCTTGTTTTTTTGATAGTTTTCTTCCTGTCCCTGTACAGAATAGACGCCTCCTTTTCTTTCTTTCTCTGAAATCAAATAGGTACACATGTAAACAGTGTAGGTCCTGATTATTGTTAATGATATTATCTCTCTTCTAGTCGTCTGATAATAACTTATATATAAGTAATAATAAAAAGCTTTATAAAACATAACAAAGTAAAGCATTCTTTATATACTACTCAAAGTTTGCTAAGCACCAAGTTTTCCGCATAGTATTGTGCATTCTACACCATATAATGTTATGATATTTACATTGTATATTGTGCAGTAATGTATCGAGAGTGTACCCTTTGTACACATAGCCTTGAATGACAGGCCATTTCCACGTGCAAGTAGTGCAAACAAGTTGAACCTGTATTTTGATTAATAATATCTGTCATATTTTGCGGTTCGGATCGGAATATCCGTCCCGAGGTGATCCGCCCATTGGGCGGTAACGAGGCTTGCCGAGTTACCGCCCATGGGCGGGTGACCGAGGAACGGATATTCCGATCCGAACCGCAAATTTATGTCAGATATTTTTTCTTGCATATTCTACCATATTCCATTATATTTTAAATTCTTTATCTTTATTTTCAATAAAAATTTATATCATTACAACCGTAACTACTTTCTTTCAACAGCGTTTGAATTACAAAATCATTCATAACGGTAAATTGACGTCATCTTTATCGTGCCATTGTACAGCACGCGACTCATCTGGAACCCCCCATGCCAGATGAAATTTCCGGCATGGGTAAAACTAACGGAAACGCCAGTCTGATATGCAAGAAAAACTGTTTAGACACAGCATACACGTACCGACACGTTTACGGTGTTCATTCTTCATTTTCCATTTCAATATTGAACATTTAAGATTATTGAATAATGGCGAATGCAAATGTAAGAAAGCATTTAGGCGGGTAGTTGGTATGGTGGAGCAGCGACTCGACATCGTGGGGTTGTTGAGGTATTTGGTGTGGACCCGAGCATAGGCGAGGTTCCAACACCATGGTAGATGACATGGTGGTGGCAGAACAAGGGTGACTGCTGAGGCTGATCGTTTTCTGGTCATCCAGGCACGACGAAAACGCCTTGCAGCTGTAACCCAACTTTGTTCTGACCTTCAAAATGCTCAGAGGTGCGCATGTCAACACAAACCATAAGTACACGTTTGCATGAAAGTCGTCTGCGATCGAGACCATGTATACGGGTCCCACTGTCTAGAGACCACTGCCGGCTCCGATATGATTGAGCCATGGACCATGTGGGTTGGGGCAGGATGGAATGCCTGGACTACACAGATAGGCGTGTTAGATTATGGCGAAGGTCAGGGGAACGGTTCCATACAGCAAACAATGCGGAACATGACCATTATGGCGGCGGATCAATAATGGTCTGGGGATGAATCAGCTGGGATGGACGTACTGACCTCATTGTCTTCGACAGATGCATATTGACTGCCCAGCGGTATCGAGGTGGATCCTCAACACCAATGTATGTTGTTCTGGTGCAAATGGTAATGGGATCATTTTGATAGATGATAATGCCCGCCCCCATACATTCAATGTCGTCAAAGAGTACGAGAATTGATCAAAAAGTGCTTTTCCGATGTATTTTCGGTATTCAGAGAACCCAAGTAATGGACTTACTTTTCAATATAATCGCCTTCTACATAAATGCACTTTGCCCATCTGTGCATCTACTTGTTTAACCCTTCAAAATAGAACTCTCTATTTTGGTCCTCAAAGAACTCATTGACCGCATCCATGACATCCATGAAACCGCTTGTAACTCGGTCAGTAATCTTCAATAAGAGATCGGTATCGCCGTATCGTGTGTAAATGTCAGTGTAGTGGCTAAAAGTATATCGGGCCGAGAACTTATTGATCATACCATACTTGAAAAGACAGGGAATTACTCGTTTGTACTGGCCTGACCGATCCCCGAATCTGAATCAAATTGAGCATACATGGAATGAGCTTATAGGTCCGTATTTCAGCCCATCAGTTCCAGCCAAGAAGCACCCAGAAGCTTGGTGCCGCCCTTGTCTACGAGTGGAATACCATCCAACAAGCCGTCCTAAGAAACCTGATAGAGAGTGTGCAACAACAGTGCCAAGCTGTCATTAACAACACTTGGTCAGGGTCACACACTCGCTATTAAAGCAAAATCAGTTATATGAAAAAATGATGGTGGCAAAAATGAGTTTTTCGCAAATTCTACCATATCCGTCTAAAACACAATTTCATTGCAATCAAAATAAATCAACATGAAAACACATTACAATTGGTAACAAATTCCTTAATGCTGTTTATAAATCACTATGTCATAGATAAGGACAGAAATAAATCTAATATTTGACATACAGTATAAGATAGGTACAAAACTACTCTTGGTGCTTAGCAAACTTTGCGTAGTATATAAATGCAATGTATTGAAACCTATTTACGATTATTAACTCTTATGGTTTGCAATTGATAGATGAAACATGATATTTTAATATTGCGTGTTTTAAAGCAATTAGTAGTAAGCGATAGTGGTGGACAAACACTTACTAAATTTTCCATAAACATATTTTTATAATGTATGGAAGAATGATTATTTTGTATATGTTTAAGTGATAAACGTCACAAATAATCAATTTTATGTGAGGTTAATGTAATACGTAATTTATTTAACCAGTAGCTATTAAAACCCAATTATTCCGCATTGCTAAATAACTAATATAAAGACATAATCAAGTTCATAATCAAGTTTTTCTTGTTCTTACAACAATCGTAGTAGTGTTTAATTATTTTTTATGATATTCGAACAAAAAGCATCACATAACAGACCTTCATCTAGTTGTCTTTTGATCTCCTCTTGGGTTTTCTCCACTTCAGTAACTCTTTCCTTTACATATGTCATTTCTTCTTTCAATCGATCAACATCGGCTTCATAGTCCTTCCACTTTTTTATTTCTTCTTCTACCCTTTTCTGTTCCTCTGGGTCTAGAGGGCAGATTTTGAAATCGTTAATGGTTTGCTGAATATTCAGAGCTGAAGAACTTCGTCGAACAAGTATCTGTGAAGAGAATTAAATAAAAAATATCAACTTCGAGTTCTTTATGTATGCATTATCAAATTGAGCAAGTGAGTTTCTGTGTTTATTGAATCATTTATTGTTAGTGCTTTTTCTTTAAAAAATGAAATATGAATGGATAAAATAAATTATTTATAAACAAATGGTTATGTATACTTCAATGTGTTATTTACAAATTGAAATGACCTAAAAAGAAATAATTAATGTCATGGTCAGATAACATTAAATGTTAAGTAGTGACCCACATCTTTTTCATCATTATTCAAATAGTATGTGTCATCGTCCACTTCCATAATGCTCTATTAAATATAAGCCCTTATAAAGGGCCAACTGATTACATTTGATTTAATTATATCGTTATCTGCGACTATTTGTAGCAGATGTGAATTGCGTATAATTTCGAATAATTTAACATCTTTCCAAAACCACTCTCCTCACCTGCTCGATGTCATTCCACCAGGTTACAAAGTCATTCGACTGTATATTAGTTGTTTTTGATATATGGCTTATCTGAAATAAAATTCAAGTAACTGTAAGTTCATATACCCATAACAGACTTTTTTAAGGTTTCGAGAATTTCCTTAGGTAGCATGGAAAACAAGAGCACCGCTAGGCGGAGCATTACATGCCCGAAAGTGTTTTTTTAGTAAGGATGAAGCTTTTGTATTAGACATTACATAAATTAAATAAAGTATTACCTCCTTCAAATAGCAATCCTCCTATGAAGTTTGAACACTATGGGCCAAAAAGAAATAAAGTTATGTTCTGGAAACTGTTTTCAGTTTTAAAGTAATAGTGACCATGACCTTTGACCTTGTGACCCCAAAATCAATAGAGGTCTTCTACTAAATATGGACAATCATCCTATGAAGTTTGAATACTGTGGGCCAAATGGAACTAAGTTATGCTCCGGAAACTGTTTTCAGTTCGAAGGTAATAATGACCTTGACCTTTGACCTTTTGACCCTAAAATCAATAGGGGTCTTCTATCCAATATGGACAATCATCGTATGAAGTTTGAACACTGTGGGCCAAATAGACCTTAAGTTATGCTCTGGAAACTGTTTTCAGTTTTAAGATAATAGTGACCTTGACCTTTGACCTTGTGACCCCAAAATTAATAGGGTCTTTTACCCAAAATGGACAATCATCCTACGAAGCTTGAATATTCAGGGCCAAATGGAACTTAAGTTATGCTCCGGAAACTGTTTTCAGTTTTAAAGTAATAATGACCTTGACCTTTGACCTTGTGACCCCAAAATGAATAGGAGTCTTTTACTTAATATGGACAATCATCCTCTGAAGTTTGAACACTGTGGGCCAAATGAAACTTAACTTATGCTCCGGAAACTGTTTTCAGTTTTAAGGTTAAAGTGACCTTGACCTTTGACCTTGTGACCCCAAAATCAATAGAGGTCTTCTACCCAATATGGACAATTATCCTATGAAGTTTGAATATTGTGGGCCAAATAGACCTTAAGTTATCCTCCGGAAACTGTTTTCAGTTTTAAAGTAATAATGACCTTGATCTTTGACCTTGTGACCCTAAAATCAACAGGAGTCTTTTACTTAATATGGACAATTATCCTATGAAGTTTTAACACTGAAGCCAAATGAAACTTAAATTATGCTCCGGAAACTGTTTTCAGTTTTAAGGTAATAATGACCTTGACCTTTGACCTTGTGACCCCAAAATCAATAGGGGTCTTCTACCCAATATGGACAATCATCCAATGAAGTTTGAAGTTTGTGGGCCAAATGGAAGTTAAGTTATGCTCCGGAAACCATATTGCTAACGGACGGACAGACAGACGTACGGACGGACGGACGTTCCAACATTTTGGGTTTAGGGGCTATTTTCTATGTTATTTTCTTTGTTTTCTTAAGGGCTAGTAGCCCCTAAACCCTTTGATCACGAATGAACCTTTTGTTCGCTTTTGTTCTCTTTACTGTTATATAGCCCCTAAACCCAAAATGTTTGCTCGGACAGACAGACGGACGGACGGACGGACGCCAGGGGGTATAACATAATATTCCCGAAATTATTTCGGGCATATAAAAAAAGAAATACGATATAAAGAATGATTCAGTTGTCTGCGTATTTTGTGCATTGCATGCCATACAATGTATAAATGATATCCATTACTCCTTAGAGTAAAAAAGATGGTTTACGGAAAAAGTTCAATGAAATTTTTATAAGTCGTAACATTAATATTCATACTGTAAGTTGTTGTTGTAGTAGTATTAAAAATTAAGAAATACTCGTTTTTGAATTTGCCTCGTCGTAGATATCCGCTTTTATTCGTTTAAACCGTAAAAGTCGTAATAGTGGTCGAAGTCATGACCGTAGTTGTTTGTGCAGTCTTCAAAGTCGGCTCATTCTTTGATTTAAACATATTTATTTCAGCTCGATTGCGAAACAAATTCTTGCATAATATATAAATCTCTTCGAATCCACTACCTGGCTGATTGTCATATAAAGGAACATGATCTTGACTAGATTAAAGCTCGGAGACATGATATCTTGGTTCAGAGGCAGACACCTTAACCACCAGCCCAATGGTCACCTAAATACAGTCTTTGTATTCGTTGTCATGGCCGTTGTCTTTGTTTATAAAAGTCATATTCATAATTGTGAACAGTAATCATTTCCTTATTTTTTCAAAGCATTTTGGAAAAAAGTTATACCTTGTCCTGTGTGGAATGAATAACAGTATATGATTTAAAATCAATAAAAGCAAAAGAAACACGATTATTGTGTTTGTGGTAAATTTCCGAGTTATTTTCACACTGTGTGTTCATTAATATACAAATTGACTAAATAGGCCTATTTATCCTCGTTATTATCCGTTACTTAAATGACTACCCTCGAGATAATTCATAACGGTGAAATATCAAACTTTGTCAGCAACGTTGTTAAAATCATGGTTGTATTTGTACTTAATTTAGTTGAAGTTGTAGTCGCATTCGTATTCAAAGAGTTTGTAATTGTGAAAATCGTTTCGTAGGCGTAGGCATTTAAGTTGTATAGGCCGTTATTAAGGTCAAAGTTGTCGAAGTTGAAGCTGCACTTTTAGTCGTCGAAGCCGAACACGTTGTCGTAAACATTGTCGTGATCGTAGTCTAAGTCGTCGGTGTAGACGCAGTCGTGGTTACATGTACAAAAATACGATGACGATCAGCGTCTTCGTCATTTGAAGAGAATTAGAAATATACGTTAACTATAATCGGCGCCAATGAAGACATATTGCTTAAGTGATGGCAGACCTCAATATGGACAATTATCCTATGAAGTTTGAAAATTGTGGGCCAAATAGACCTTAAGTTATCCTCCGGAAACTGTTTTTAGTTTTAAAGAAATAATGACGTTGATCTTTGACCTTGTGACCCCAAAATCAACAGGAGTCTTTTACTTAATATGAACAATTATCCTATGAAGTTTGAACACTGTGGGCCAAATGAAACTTAAGTTATGCTCCGGAAACTGTTTTCAGTTTTAAGGTAATAATGACCTTGACCTTTGACCTTGTGACCCAAAATCAATAGGGGTCTTCTACCTAATATTGACAATCATCCTATGAAGTTTGAATATTGTGGGCCAAATGGAAGTTAAGTTATGCTCCGGAAACCATATTGCTAACGGATGGACAGACGGACGGACGGACGTTCCAACATTTTGGGTTTAGGGGCTATTTTCTTTGTTATTTTCTTTGTTTTCTTAAGGGCTAGTAGCCCCTAAACCCTTTGATCACGAATGAACCTATTGTTCGCTTTTGTTCTCTTTACTGTTATATAGCCCCTTAACCCAAAATGTTTGCTCGGACAGACAGACGGACGGACGGACGCCAGGGGGAATAACATAATATGCCCGAAATTATTTCGGGCATATAAAAAAAATACGATATAAAGAATGATTCAGTTGTCTGCGTATTTTGTGCATTGCATGCCATACAATGTATAAATGATATTCATTACTCCTTAGAGTACAAAAGATGGTTTACGGTAAAACTTCAATGAAATTTTTATAAGTCGTAACATTAATATTCATACTGTAAGTTGTTGCTGTAGTAGTATCAAAAATGTAAGAAATACTCGTTTTTGAATTTGCCTCGTCGTAGATATCCGCTTTTATTCGTTAAAACTGTAAAAGTCGTAATCGTGGTCGAAGTCATGATCGTAGTTGTTTGTGCAGTCTTCAAAGTCGGCTCAATCTTTGATTTAAACATATTTATTTCAGCTCGATTGCGAAACAAATTCTTGCATAATATATAAATCTCTTCGAATCCACTACCTGGCTGATTGTCATGTAAAGAAACATGATCTTGACTAGATTAAAGCTCGGAGACATGACATCTTGGTTCAGAGAGAGACACCTTAACGCAACCAGCCCAATGTGGTCACCTAAATACAGTCTTTGTATTCGTTGTCATGGCCGTTGTCTTTGTTTATAAAAGTCATATTCAATTGTGAACAGTAATCATTCTTTTATTTTTCAAAGCATTTTTGAAAAAAGTATAACCTTGTCCTGTATTGTGGAATGAATAAACAGATATATGATTTTAAAATCAATAAAAGCAAAAGAAACACGATTATTGTGTTTGTGGTAAATTTCCCGAGTTATTTTTCACACTGTGTGTTCATTAATATAACAAATTGACTAAATAGGCCTATTCTATCCTCGTTATAATCCGTTACTTAAATGACTACCCTCGAGATAATTCCATAACGGTGAAAATATCAAACTTTTGTCAGCAACGTTGTTAAAATCATGGTTGTATTTGTACTTAATTTATTTAGTTGAATTTGTAGTCGCATTCGTATTCAAAGAGTTTGTAATTGTGAAAATCGTTTCGTAGGCGTAGGCATTTAAGTTGTACTAGGCCGTTATTAAGGTCAAAGTTGTCGAAATTGAAGCTGCACTTTTAGTCGTCGAAGCCGAAAACGTTGTCGTAAACATTGTCGTGATCGTAGTCTAAGTCGTCGGGGTAGACGCAGTCGTGGTTACATGTACAAAAATACGATGACGATCAGCGTCTTCGTCATTTGAAGAGAATGAGAAATATACGTTAACTATAATCGGCGCCAATGAAGACACATTGCTTAAGAGATGGCAGACCTCTAACCATTACTACAGATAGGTTATTAATTTGGTGGGTACATTTATATTTGACAAGAATTTGATTACTATTGACATGTATCCACTGTTTGAAGACAGATACATGTATATCAGGTAATTTTGGACGTGTTTCCCAATCTTATGAAATGTTTTGACCAGGTTAAAATGATAACTTCGGGAAAGTCCGTAAAAATTATTGTTTTATGTTTTGCAATATCTCAAATCGGTAATATATAAAGGGTTTTCGTGCAAAATTAATTATTATTTACCACTAAGGTTCACAAATTCCAAATAGCAATCCCGTATGTTTTTTTTCGTTCGTGTGCTTTTTATTTATTTATTTTTTAGAATGTTACAGGGGTGTATGGTAGCCCCGGTCGATGAGAAAATGTTGCCTTTGTAATCAGACATGTATTGTTAAGGCTGTCGATTGTGAGGGAAACGCTCTGAAAGTGGCTTACATACTGACAGAAAATCAATATCCCTCTATCATTGATTTTTTAATTCAGTTTAGACGTTCATTTATCATTTGTAATATTTTCTCAAGATAGGACAGATAATGATGCAATGGACAGGTAGTCTATAGCAAAGCTATCGTCTTGTTTTGTGAATTATAAATATACAAACAAAATGTATTATATGTTGTATTCAGTAAATGTTAGATTTCTGCCATCACTTCATTAATCTGTTATCACTTGCACCGGCACATAAACTATATGCAGTGCAACAATTTACTCATAAAGTAGATCTCATGAAATGCACTTTATCCTAATGAGATCTATTCAATTAAGAAGTACTTGAAAAAAAGATTCTACTTGTATTCCAAAAGAAATTGTCAGTCATGTCATTATTGTCACGTTGTCATATTTATTAAAAGTTTGAATAAGCATGTTGACTTTTTCATTGTTGCTTACTTACTTGATTTCGGAAAGCTTTTAATCGACATATATCTGCCTCGACTGTTACATCGGTTGGTATAGGTGTTGCGTTCCAGTCAAATTTCTTATTCAATCCAAAACACTTCAGGCATCTTAGAAGGCAAATGATTAGCGTGATGTCCATATCCGACGTAGTTGGAACTTGACCAACCGCTGGAAACAATTGGTCATATTGTACCTGTGTTATAATTCCGCGGCTTTTCAAACGTGTAACTGCAAACTTTTCTTGATTCAAACATACGTTTAGAGTCAAACCTTTTGCAGTCAGAGTCTGATCTAGTATGTTTCTCAAAACCATGAGACCTCCGTCTATAATGAGTATTTGCAACCGGAATAGGTAAACACGGTTTTCCGCCGTCTGTGTCAGCCCACCGGTTGCCATTTCCGCTTGCTTTGTCAAACCTCTGTTATTGTCATATCTTAAAATAGATAAAATGTATAGTTGCTACAGTAATGCTGCAAGTATTAAAGCATATATTCTATTTCTTATCACTTTTTTCTGTTTTGTTATCACATTGACTTTAGATAATTTACTTAAAATGGGCAATCATAAAAGATAAGCTCTGACACACGATGCTAATAAGTGCGCAAACGCTCCCGTAAGGAATATTATTTTGATGGAGTAAAAGTGTGCCTTGAAACCTTTCTGGTGGTTTTGATATAAAAGATAGGTAACTGAGAAATTCCCATAGTGAAAAACAAGATGCCTGTCCATGGTTCACGGTCATATAGGAAGACGCGTACGTACTCCAATTAAATTTCCTCAAGATGTTATCAAAGATGCAGGTCAGTACATACTGAGTGACGTGAACGAGGAGGGAATTCCTAAGCCTGCTGCAGCACTGAGAGAGAGAGGGATGATGAGGCCACTATATATTTACGTCGTCTGATACGAATCATTCAGTACACAGTGACTACTATATACGCTGTACGGATGTTGGGAAGCAATATGTTGGCTTTGTATAACGATTTAAAGATACATATGGAAACACTGTGTGTCTAGTTTAAAAATAACCTCTCCAAAAGAGGGTGTGTGTAAAGCTAGTTAGGACTGTAAACAGGACAATAAGCTTTTAAAAGTGAAAACGACAAGATAAAAGCAGCCTTAAAATATCATCTACATGTGCCGCAAGCCAGAAAGGAACGTGAACTATACGTGGAACAATTGGAAAAGTGAAAAAAGCAATGTTTGTTAACCGGGAAAAACAAGACCGCCGGTGATTCATTTTTACAAATGACGTACATTATACGTTTGACTTAACTCAGTATGTTAAGTTGCCACATCATGCATAAGAAAAGGGGACCCACATTCTTCATTTAGCCGGGAAAAGTGCAGGTAGGAAATTCAATTACACACACGCAGTGATAACGGGATTCATCATAATAAGAATAGATACGTACTAGCTTTTCTATTATGTCGTACGGTGATTGGATCGCAAAGAAATATTAGATACATGATGTGGTTACCAGGACATACAAGGTAGTTTTGAATTTTATTTGTTGTGTTGAACATTTCGTTTAACAAGCTATTTCGTTTTTTTACGAAAAGATATTAATTACGCTGAAGTACACGTACGAGAACTTGATACTAAGCATGTTTGGTAAATCTCAGTCTGAAAATGCAAATCACCAGTTCAGCCAAAGGTAAAATTCTCGAAATATGATCATTACCTTACCCAAATATTTGTATTGCATTGTAACTTTATAATTGCAGGTGCTTGATCGACGCCGGATTTACGACCATAATTGTGAAACTCTCCAACACGTGCAGAAGACAGCACACAGTAACATTCCAATTACTTATGGTGAATTAATGTGGAAAGGCTGGGAGATGTTTCTCGGAGCCAGATTCGAAGGTACCGAATATTTTTAAATATCACCAGTTCCGCTTCAAGTCATTCGAACCCTATTATAGTGTACATGAAGGTAGCTGCAGACGATACAGATTAAGTTAGGTTTGTAATCTGTAAGACAAATTATCTACAAATGGATCGAAATTACCTTTTTATATAAAAATATCTTAGCTCAGCCAATAAAAGGCCCGCGATAACTTCATGTAAATTAAACAAGGAAGTTAAAGCAGGTTTTATAGGAGTTTTTTCATTTCAAAGATATTCAATATCTCCAGTCGGTTTAGTTAAAAATGAATAAAACAATGACTTTAGGATTACACACCATTTTAAGTGTAGCAGTGATGTTTTCAACAATAAACACTTGGTGATATTTATATAGATATCTATTCTTATAATATAGAATAAAACCAAGCTTGTAATAGAAGAAATCTAATGTTATACTAGAAATAAAAAGCAAGTATTTCTATAAAGAAATAACTGAAAGTTAACTAATTTTATAGTTATTTTCACTTCGAAAGCGAGACAAGGAATTGTCAGTTACTAAGAAATATTAGATTCCAGAACCAAATCATCTGAAAATAACTTGCATACCAAAATCAATCATCCATCACTCAACTTGCAAAACCAGTTCAATCACCCATAACAAAAGGACAAAAGACAAACATGAATACAAAACACCACAATAGATTTGGTTTGGCCTTTAGGGGAAATTACTACCGTATTTATTATAAATAGAGAACTTGGCTTTATTTAACCTTATCTACATATTAAGCATTCCTGAATTTAATGATTATATACAACAAGAGTTCAGTTCCGTTCAATACATGCATTTTGACGAGACCGTTACAATGGAACAAACTCTTGGATGGAATGCTCTGATAAATCTATCAGCGTTCAGACTGCTGCCGATATATCCCTAAGATTATAAGCTGTAAGGTTTAAAGCAAAGACGCAAATAATACATGTATTTCGATAAGTGTCTTCCTCTTGCGGTTTTAATTTCTTGCGCTTCATCTATTTTTTGTCCTAAGAATAGTGTGCAGGAGAGAAGTCAGGATCAAATAAGGTTATCAATTACATGGATAACATTTTTTTTTCAATTGTGTAACGAATTCGATGTTCCCCTTGCAGTGAAAAGAAAAACTGCCCATCCACCAACAGTTATAGATTTTAGAGACAATGTTAGATACAATCGAATGCAAGTTAGTAATTCAATATTGTAATCTATATAAAACGAGTTAAGAGAAAAGAAACATGTAATGATTTCTTAAAAGAAAACCACTTTACGAAATGTTTAGTTTCTTATTGGCAATCTATCTGTTGCGTATAAAGCAATACATGTCGGTGGACCATTTTTATGAACTTCAAGGCTCATCAATCTAACTGTCGGTAAAACTCTGGACAACTTCACCATTTAAGAGTTTCAAAAAACATCAAAGACGATTGTTCAATCGTGTTTCAGTTATTCACGAAAACGCCTGGCAAATAACGAGAACTAACAGTTGTTAACGACAGGTTGGGCAGTGTTTTGGACTAATTGCCGTTGGTCTGATAAATGGGTTCTTCAGTTTTTTTTATAGACCAGAAGGTTATAAAATAAAAAAAAAGTGTTTACAGATTAAACCTCACACATCCGCTTTATTCTGTTTGAACCTGTTTTTTTTTCTTATGTAGTAAATGTTTTTAACCTAAATTCAGTATTTAAATGAGAACATTTTAATTAACAATAATTAAAGAAAATTCACTAAAATTAACAGCCCTATACTTACAAAATGATTGAATATCTAGTCAAAGGACATCCATTAGCATGAGTTTATATTTTTGGAATTATAGTTTATGAGAATGTAAGGTTCTTATAACCTTAAAAGTAGTGATTGAGATTAATGTGGAATTATTTGACTAAGAATTATTAAAACTTAAAGAAAATAGTATTTTATTTTTCATTCTTAATACCAAATAACTCTAAATGTACTAATTGCGAATAGATACCAGCGGCAAATAAAATGGTTCAAGTTATTGGTCAGTGAGTAACTTCTTTTAAACTACATCAGGACATCAAATATAAAAAAAGCTTTTGAGATGCACATCCTGTGCCTTTAAATAACGTTGTTACTTCACTATATAAATGTTAAATGTGAACCGAATTGTACATTTAATGGGTGCATATTAACTAAATAAATGTTTATTTAGCATCAATTCTCCAACAAACGTTCAATCATATGTTTGATTGTTTGTACATTTAGAAATTTGTTATTTTCGAATATTCATCCAATGTAATATGAATAGTTATTTGATTCCGTAACATTTTTTATCAACATCAATTACTACGAATTTGATACATACATCAAACAAGAGCGATCAGTGATCACATGTGTCACCTCATGATAGCCATAACTCATTCAACCTGGACACCCGTGTAATATGCACATGTACTTAAGCTACCAATTAATCCTGTAAAAATTCATTGAATTTGCATTTGTGGTATAAGAGGAGTAGTCTGGACAAATTGTAAAAA